AAAACAACAAAGATGTGCCAGAATTTCACTTGTTCATCACTAGCATAAGCTGCTTCTTTGCTGAATAGCATAACAGTTTTCAAGCACTAGAGGAATATTTCCTTAATTTTTGGTGCTACTCACAGTGTAATAGCTACAGACGTGGCATACCTTTAAGTCTAATGTGGATTATTAACATTTCCCATCACTTTCTTAGGTCTAGACAACCAACAAAATAATTGCTGTAAATTGGATGCCCCCCAACCTCATTCAGGCTAAATCTCCACTGTAAATGTTGAGGGTGGGAAATCCTATTATGGTAATTGAGAGGTGGGGCCTTGAAGAGGTGATCAGATTGGAGGACCATGCAGTAGTGAATGGATTAAAAATGGTGGTCAGGGGCGTACTTCTGAGGGCTTCAAAAGAAGAGCACATGAGAGGTTGGTCTCTCTCTGTTCTGCCATTTTGTGCCATGTGAGATGCCCACATTGCTGTAAAGCCACCACCAAAGAAGACCCTCTCCAGATGTGTTCCCTAGACTTTGGACTTTTCAGCCTCTGAAATTGTGAGCAATAGATTTCATTTTCTCTATAAATTACCCAGTTCCAGGTATTTTGTTATAAGCAACAGAAATAGATTAATACAATAATAAATCAAATACTGACATATAGCACTTGCCAATTCCTGTGGTGTAAATACCCCTACCATAGCCAATTTCAAGCAATCAGTGTGATATCACTGAAGGCAAAGTTGGGAAAAGATAAACAGTAGCATACCACTACATAGTATTTCTCCTATACAGATACAAGAATTCTAAATAACCTCCAGGGTCCGAGCCTGTGGCACACTCGGGAGAGTGCGGCACTGGGAGCGCAGCGGTGCTCCCGCCGCGGGTTCGGATCCTATATAGGAATGGCCAGTGCGCTCACTGGCTGAGCGTGGTGTGGGCGACACCACACCAAGGGTTGCGATCCCCTTACCGGTCACGAAAAAGACAAATAAATAAATAAATAAATAAGTAACCTCCAGGACATAGATAGTAGTAAGACTTAGTAAAATAGGAAGTTATGATTTTGAGTATTTATTAACTTTGTTTTTGATATAAATCATTTACTTATAAGTTTATAAGTTTAATTTTTGATGATGCCTGTGCTTAAGAATCAGCTCACAAAATTGCTGAAAACTTAATAGGCTTTCATGAGCCAACACAAGCTGGCTTCAGCACATCACTCATAAGTAGCTCATCTACGATTACACTGTTGAGTGCCAGGATTCATATTCAGATC